GAGTTTTCATACTTTCCCTTGTATGCAGGAAAAATGACCAAACCGTTTACTACTTTCATCAGGAACAGAGAGCACGCAATCAACAGCAACTACTTTTCTAAAAGATCCCAATGGGCTAAATGATATAAAAACTGAAGTGAAGTAATTTTTTAAAAAAAGTGACATTTACAGATAACCAGATTAAATATAATGCATCAATTTTGTACTTAAGGCAGTTCTTCGATAGTCCACACTTTTTTCAATATGTGGAACTCCTGTAGATGGCACTGTGATGAGACTTACAATGTTGGATTTGTCACACCTCGCTTGTCACAGAGTCATAGTCTCTTTTAAGAGCTGTATCAAACTTTTATCAAACCTGTCACTGTCTGCAATTCTGGTCACCATATTTTCATCATCGTCATTGGCGGTCCCTTGCAGACGAGATGACTCTCTTCCACTCGCAGAGTGAACCTGTAGGTGGCTGTAGAGACTGATGCAGCTTCCATGGATTCTGCCACACTTGGGGCAGAAGGTGGTTGTGGAAGGGGTGGGTGGGGTGTTGGTGTAGCAGCACTCACCTTTCATCATTTTTGCCTGGCTTCTGCTTTTTTCCAACAGCAAGTCTCAAGATGCTTGATGCCTTCCCGGAAGCTCCTCCTTCACTTTGGACGGTTTTGGGCCGGCGATTCCTAGGTGTCAGTGGCAATGCTGCACTTTCCCACTGAGGCCTTCAGGGTAGCATTGACATGTTTCCTCTGTGCACCAGGAGCTTGCCTGCCTTTTCGGAGCTGGGAGTAGAACGCCTGCTTGGGGAGTCTTGAGTAGGTCGTGTGGACGATATGCCCAGCCCATCGCTGTTGGTTAAGGATGGTCGAAGCCTCGATGCTGGGGATGTTATGTTGGCCTGGTTGAGGACGCTGGTGTTGGTGCGTCTGGCTTCCCAGTCATTTTCAGGGTCTTGCACAGGCAGCGTTGGTATTACTACTCCAGCGCCTTTACGTCTGCTGCATACAGTCCATATCCTAGAGCAATATAGGAGGGTGGGAACCAGCACAGCTCTGTAAACCATGATCTCTGTGTCGGATCTTATGTTGTTGTCCTCAAACACCCTTTTCCTTAGGCAGCCAAAGACTGCGCTGGCACACTGGAGGTGGAGATATTCCATCAAATCCTGAAAAACCTCAGTCGGTCACTTAACCAGGAAACATCCAAGATTATTTTGATGAGAATGATCAGGAGATCCAAGAACTGATAAGCTGGAAGCACATGGCATTTCTGAATGCAAAACAGCAACCGCACTCAGAAGAGAAAAAGATGGCGCACAGGTGACTGAAGGCCAAGGTCCAACAACGAACCAGCGGTGGGTGGAGAAAGCACTGAATGCCCAATGAATGTCTAACAACCATAATGTACAGGATTTCTTCTTTGCTGTCGAGACTTGTTACAGACCAAGCACCCAAGGCCCCATCCCACTGCTGGCCAAGGGTGGAATGACTCCTATCAAAGACAAAGAAGTCATCAAACAACAATGGGGGGAGCACTTCAGAGACCTTGTCAACCAGGGCTCTGTTGTCAATCCGAGCTTCCTTGACTGTATCCCACTGCATGTTACACACTGCCAGCTCAGCAACTCCCCAGCCCTGAATGAAGTAGAGAAGGCCGTCTGCCAGCTAAGAACAAGGCTGCTGGAGCAGATGGAATGCCCACTGAAGCACAGAGGTAAAACAACTCCTGCTGCAACTACACGCCCCTGTCTGTCTTAACATATATTTTATGAAGAATATAGAGACACCTGAGAGATGGTGGAGAAACCCTACAACAATGATATCAGAAATGCATGGAGATACATGTATATTGAGAAAGGATCAAGGGAGTTGAACTCTTTCTCTTGAGGAAAGACTGCTGACAGGTGACCTAACAAAGCCTTTTAAAATTATGAATAGAGTGGACACAGAAAGAAAGTTTTCTCTTGTGCAGTAGATAAAATCTAGAGGCTATGTACAGCAGTCATCAAGAAATTTAATAAGAAATTAGAAGAAACTCCTTTACCCAAAGAGGAGTAGGAATGTGGAACTCTCTTGCACATAAAATGGTTGGATTGACTATTATAGATACATTTAAGGGGAAAAAAAAAAGGGCTAACGGCATTGACAGTTATGACGGCAGATTTAGAGAAAAAAAATAGGAAAGGGCTGGAGTGAATCAATCAAAAACACCAGCATTGATAGAAGGTCTTGTGACAGAGAAGCTCAGAAGTTTAAATCCTATTTCAGGACTGCATGACTGTGGAAGTTGCGTTCATAACGTGGCCAAACAAGTTAACTATCAACCTGTAAATCCTTCTAATATGCCGAGGGCAGGTAATTAAAAACAGGAGAATTTCACGGTCAGCTATGTTTTTCGTGAAATGGTGTCCCTCAAGCTGTGGCTTCTGACAGCAGGCTAGTGACCTATTCCAGGAATAGATATAAAAACGGTCATAAGCATGTACATTGTTTGTCTCAAGGCATGAGAAAAGGGGAAAATAAAATAATGCACACCTATGTAATATATATCCATGCATAGCTACTGTGTATCTGGGCTTGTCATTCTTCCAGCGTGATCAAATAATCTAAATCTATACAACTGCAGATACCACAGCCGGGAAGCTCACAGACCTTTTCATATCTAAATGAAAGGGAATTTTCTCTGCTGCCCTGCCCATCATTTCCACCTCTATTTCTGGCATTCTCAATGACCTAAAACACACCTCTAACTTTTCCCCTTCCACCCCAGCTATCACTGAATTTCTCTCTATGATGCTTATATCTTTATTCTTTCATCGGATATGAGCAGCGCTGAGAAAGCTAACTTTTTATATCCACCTCATGACCATCCACAACTGAAGAGTCTGACTTTTCAGCATTCAATTTTTCCACATCCTTACAAGCAATATATTAGAGTCACCACTGAAAAGAAATAACTCAATAGGGTTCACATAAGTGGAACAGTTATTCGAACAGCTCAGAAAATGGATATTTCTACAGTGAATGGATCAACTCTGATATTCAAATAAATATATAGAGCGTTGGACAAACTCAGCAGGTCTGGCAGCATCTGTGGACAGAGTTAACATTTTGTCTGGTATAACTCTTCTTCAGAGCTAAGAAAAGTTATGATTGCTGAGTTTCTCCCACATTCTGTGTGTTGGTTTCAGATCTGAAGAACAGTCGTATCAGTCTCGAAAAGTGCATTGGTTTCTCTCTCCACAGATGCTGCCAGACCTGTTGAGTTTCTCCAGTATTCTCAGTTTGTCTCAGACTTCCAGCATCTACAGTATTTTACTTTTATCCTGATACTCTAAGCCTTTTTAAATGCACTGAGGCACAAGTTGGATGTGTAAGTTACTACCGTGACAATACAATGGCTTTTATTATGCCCTTTTGAAGAGAGGTTTTAAGACAGAGGAGATAAGCACACACACAGTTTTCTCTTTATGTTTTTCCTAGACTGGAAAACTGCTTATGATACAATCTATTTTAAAAAATGGGACGATACAATATTCAAACAGTTACTGTTTAGCAATTAAATAATCTATTATTCTGTTAAGTTTTTCCATAGAGTTAAGTTATTCCAATTTCTTTCTTCTTTAGTTGTATTCTAACCATAGTGTATGAATAAAGTATGTTTTGCTTCAAGATTGGTAGTTTGACCAATTGATTTGCATCTGGAACACAAGGACTGGCACTTGGCTTTAAAATAAGGAAAAGTTAGAACCAATGCTATCTTCTTAATATATTTTGAAGGGGTTTGATCTGGACCACAACACTACATTCTACTTGTCTGGACGGGTGTAACTGTAACAATATTCTGGATGCTTCTTGCTATTCTGGACAAAGAAGTGCAGCTAATTTTTCCCTATCCAAATGCCCAATAGATATAATGACACTTCCTACATGTAATTAAATGTAAATCATCTTTTTCACACTTCCAAATGCAAATCTCTCTGCCATTCTGAAAATACAGTTACCAACTGTATCACCAAACAATGCCAAATAACACAGCGCTTCCCTTACATAATTATAACATACACTCTAAAAATATTTACCAAAATAGAACAAAGATCTGTGAATGCTGGAAATCTGAAACTCCAGCAATTGTCAAGCAATTTCTGTTTTGCTAAAAATATGTACATCTGATTCTGGTGATGTATTTGGTACTAAAGTACCACAGGAGGCGGAACAAAAATCATTGAACCTTTGACAATATAAGATACACTTTACCAAATATATTTCAAAATTCTAAGCTTTAATACGCATGATTGTAGATTCCAGATATGACACAAATATTATAATTAATAATAACAACAACACTTTGGTTGTGAGGATTTCTTTCTAGTCTTTATGTTATGACTAGGTTGATCTATGGAATAATAGCATGCTCTTAAGTCAGCAACAAAACACCCTTCACTATCAAATACTGGTGAAATACAGGAGACAGCAGCTTAGTGGTAACGTCACTGGGGTAGTAATCCAAAGACCCAGACTAATGTTCTGGGATGTGGATTGAATCCCACCATAGCAGATGGCGACATCTGAGTTTAAAAAAAAATCTGTAATCAAAAATTAGCCTAATGGCAACCATGTAATCACTGTTGATTGTGGTAAAAAAAACTTATTTGGTTCTAATGCCCTTTAGGGAAGAAAATCTGCTTTCCTCACAAGATCTCGCCTACTAGTGACCCCAGACCCACAGCAATGTAATGACTCTTAAATGGCTTCCAGACAATAAGGGATGGGCAATAAATACAGACTTGGCCAGTAACGAATACAAATCATGAATGAAAAAGAAAGTAATACTTTTTACGTTAAAATAATAATTTAGAAACAAAATCAGGATTTTGAGATGGAGAAGACATAGGCCTAGACAGTACTGAAGTAATGATATTGTAATCCTCTGATTACTGTTGGTACTATTGGAAACAAACAAAAATTGCTCGAGTTCTTTCCTCTTTAATGCCTATTAAACAACAAATTTACCCAGTTATTCTTTCTTCCTGCATAGATTTCCATGTTGTCTCCAAATTCCGGACCCTCCTGCAGTGCTGTATATTCAAACATAAGACGTGAGCTCTCGTGGAGTCGATCACATTGGTATTTGTGGTACTGCTGCACCAGTTCTTTAATTACAAGCAGAAGACAGTCTGGATTCTGGGAGTTCCAGTCGTTCAGATGCTGCATATTGTGGCAAAGACAGAGACAGAAAAAAACATTTGGATTAGTGTTCTGGAACTCTTCATTGACCTCAACACAAATTCATTTCAAACACTTGTATTGGATTAAGACCACACCATGCGTTTCCATTCACAGGTGCTTTTACTTTACTAAACATTTCTTGTTGCTGACATGAAGATGCAATGCTCTGCCCCCTTTTCACATCTGTATTTGATGACAGAGTTCTGCAAGGCTACTGGATTCTACTGTGCAGTATTGTAAAGGCTAAGTCGTCTCACTCTGACAGCAACGTTTGACTGGCATTTCCCTGAAATACTAGTTTATTCTTGGCACAGGTCTATATCTGTAGCTGGCTACAGTAACTGATTGTAGAAAACTGTACTGAATCACATAATACAGAAAAGAGCTATTGCCAGTTGTACAGACGGCTGGCAGGGATATCAAATGAAACTAGAAAACAAGTGGTGATCAGATATTTATTAAGTGATAATTGTGCAACAATTGAGTTTTTGCTGGAAAAAAGCTCTTAATCCTTAAAGGTTCTGGTGGCACAGTGGTAGCGTTCCCATCTCTAAGTGAGAAGGCCAGTGACATTCTGGAACAGTTTGATTAAAAATATTTATGCTGGGAACAAGAGGGTCTTGTGACAGTTGCAGTGAGCCAGCAAGACTGGGTTCAAACCCATGACCGAACAGGTTGTTTTAACAAAAAAGGGAACAAACAATCAATCAACGTGTTTGAATTTTGTGATAGGGGATTGTGAATAAAACTCTGACTAGAAAAGTATCATGACACCCAGTTATAGTCCAACAGGTTTATCTGAAATCAAGAGGTTTTCGGAGCATTGCCCCTTCGTCAGGTGAAATGAAGAATAGCATACAGGCACAGAATTTATAGGCAGAGAGATCAAAAGATCATACAAACGGCGTGAGTGGAGTGTTGAAAAATAAGTCTCTACAGGTAACCAAGAGTGTCAGACGGTGTGAGTTAAGTGTCAATAGGTGAATAGTAAGTGAAGGAGATGATCTTTAATCCACTTAAGATGCAGAAAGGTAATTACAAAAAATTAAAAATAAGGTGGCGCAGGAGACAAACCAAATGGCTAGAATAATATGATAGGTTTAAGAGTCTGCAGCAAACTACCCAGCTTTCAGGACAACATTGACCACAACACCACACAAACCTGCCATGGTAACCTCTGTAAGATATGTTAGATCATTGACATGGATACTACCATCGCCGTGGGAACACCACCCATTTACGTACACAGCAGATACTCATGTGACTCAGGCAATGTTGTTGACCTCATACACTGCAGGCAAGGATGCCCTGAGGCATGGTACATTGGTGAGACCATGCAGATGCTACAGCAACAGATGAATAGACACTGTGCAACAATCGCCAGACAGGAATGTTCCCTCCCAGTCGGGGAACACTTCAGTGGTCAAGGATGTTCAGCCTCCGATCTTTGGTTAAACATCCCCAAGTTGGCCTTCGAGATACACAACAACACAGAATTGCCAAGCAGAAACTGATAGCCAAGTTCCATTCCCATGAAGACTGCCTCAACCATGATCTTGGGTTCATGCCGCGCTACATGTCACCCCACCACACTGTTCTGTATTTGTAAAATCTTCCTTTCTGTCTGTTTCAACACCATCACCTTGATAACTTGTTATGATCTCTTTCATTAGTTTGTACAGTTTTGGATTACTTGTTAATTTGGTTAGACCCATGCCACGTGACTCTTAAACCTATCATGTTATTCCAGCCATTTGGTTTGTCTCCACGCACCACTTTATTTTTTAATTTTTGTATTTATCTCTCTGCCTTATTTAATATCATCATAGGTCAACCCTTCACTTACTATTCAGTCTTTAACACTTTACTCACACTGTCTGACATTTTTGACCACCTGCAGAGACTTATTATTCAACATTCCACTCACACCACTTGCATGATCTTTTGATCTCTCTGCCCATTGATCTCTCTGCCTATATAATGTGTGCCTGTATGCTATTCTTCACTTCACCTGACGAAGGGGCAGCATTCTGAAAGCTTGTAATTTCAAATAAACCTGTTGGACTATAACCTGGTGTTGTGTGACTTTTGACCTTGTCCACCCCAGTCCAACCCCGGCACCTCCACATCATAGAAAAGTATCACCCTAAACTCGGTGTACTGAACGTTTAAGCTCCAGTCAGGGCCACCACAAAGGGATATCTAATTAGCTCCATTCCCCACAGCCCTGCAATGTACTTGTAATGGAAAAGCATATACAAGTTCATTAAGAAGATATCTTAGAACCTGCCTCCATGCCTCTTTATCAAACTCGAATGAGTAATTAGAATGTGCAGATCATGAGTTGGGCAATGTCTTAAAAGCAACTTATAGTTGCAGAAAGTCTTTTTTTAAGAATTTACAAACAGTAACAAATAGTTTTGGTCATTCAAAGCCTTCACAAACAGGCATTTTCATAAATCATTTGAGCAAATATTTGAACATGTCAAAATTTAGGTAAATCTCCCACCACATTTCAATAGGTATGGTTTTACCCTTATCATTTAGCACTTGTTCAGAAGAAATTCACTGAAATGCATTACTTTTAGACTGTAATTTCAGCATTAGCAGTTAGTTATATGGATGATATACAAAATTACTTTAATGTTAGTATCATCATCTTGTTTCAAAGTGTATTTACACAGGTTTGGCCTGGTTAAAATGATTAACTTATAAAAATCTTGGCACAGCCTACTCTGAACTATCTATGTAAGATCCTGCAGTGATTTTGACTGCAATAAGCTGGATGTTAAAATACACAATATATTTCAATACCATTCATAATTCAGCACTGGCTGATACAGAAATATTTCTGTTTTTCCCTTAACAGAAGCTGCCAAACTCTAGTTGCCCAGTAAGCTTCCAAGCAATTAACCACCCCAAGTTCAGATTTCCTTCAAAGCAATACGACGTACTATTTCTTAAATAAAAACCAAAAGAACTGCGGATGCTGTAAATCAGAAACGAAAACAAGTTGCTGGAAAAGATCAGGTCTGGCAGCATCTGTGAAGGAAAATACAGAGTTAAGATTTCGGGTCCGGTGACCCTTCCTCAGAACAGACGTGGTGAATATGGTGTTCCTATGGTTGTTTTCTGATTTCTCAGGACTCCTCCAGAATCTAAGGATTCTTGGAGACTTACTACCACTGCATCTCCTGTGTCAGTAGTTACTTCCTTTAATATCCGAGAACACTTCCCCAAGACCCAAGGGATGTATTGGTTTCTGGCCCTATTAATTTCTCTCATACATTTTCTTGAGTGAAAGTTAATGTACTTATTTCCACCCCACATTTTGCTCCTTGATTTTTTTTTGAATGCTAGTGTCTTCTACCACAAAGATTGATGCAAAGTATTTATTCAATTTTTCTGCCATTTCCTGATTTTCATTATTACTTTCACAGCCTCATTCTCTAAGAGGTCGGTGTTCACTTCAGACTCTCTCCTTTTAAAGAAGCTCTTAATGTCCTACTTTGACATTACAGAGAACAGTATCTATCCCACTATACTGTCCCCTTGCACAGCTACATTCCTATTCTCCCTTCCCTCCCATTTGAATCTCTGTAGCAAGGTGCTGTGGCTATTCACTCAGTCATGCAGCAGTTCTCTTGTCCACATAGCTTACAAAAACCTTATAGCTTTTCGAGAGGCCAAGGCTTCTTGAATGCTACCCGAGTCCCTATACCTGCCTCACTTGCATCCTCCTGTCCCTGACCACGGAACAAATAATTCAAATTTGGTCTGAGACAATCAAAAACAAATTTCTGGAAAAACTCAGCAGGTGGGGCAGCATCAGTGAAGAGAAAACAGAGTTAGCAGTTCAGGTCCTGTGATCCTTCTAAACAACAGTATCAATCTTACATTTCACAAGCTATTTTTACCAAAAAAAAACGTAAGCAGAGATACACTCTTAAAAGAATTTTGAGCATTCCGATTCCTGATTTGCAAAATTAGGTTGGATAATGAAATAGTGAGTCAAACATTCCAACGTCAGGTTTTAGTAAATCTTCCAAACTGTGAAATGGCAGGCATCCTACTGTGATAATGGATGGTTTTAAAATCATTCCAACAGCAAAATCGAAGAATGGAAAGCCTTAGGCTGACGTAAACTGACAAACTAAATTAACAGTTTAACACCCAAAGGTTTGTTCGAAAATTGAAGAAAAGGGGTGGCACAGTGGCTCAGTGGTTAGCACTGCTGCCTCATAGCGCCAGGGACTCGGGTTCGATTCCACCCCTCAGGCTGTGTGGAGTTTGTACATTCTCCCCGTGTCTGCGCGGATTTCCTCCGGGTGCCCCGCTTTCCTCCCACGGTCCAAAGATTTGCAGGCTAGGTGGATTGGCCATGCTAAATTGCCTGCAGCGTTTCAGGGATATGTAAATTAGGTGGGTTATTGGGTCTGGGTAGGATTCTCTGAGGGTCAGTGTGGACTTGTTGGGCCGAAGGGCCTGTAGGGATTCTATGATTCTATCATTAATGTGACCCTCCTTGACTTTAATCTCAGTATGTTCTACAACAAAAGCATTTCCAAACAATAACAATTTTTTATTCTGTAATATCTAGTTTGATTGAAAATTGCTGTCTATGGGTCCAGACCACTAAAGGGCATTTAAGCCTTCTGGTATAATCTACAAACAACATTGCACTTTTCAAGCACCTACACGAGATGTATAGCACAGCATCACATATTCATTTGGTGATGGAGGTGCTGGGAGACAGGAGGATGGTCAAAGAAAATTATGTCAACTATTTCCTGCACAGAGCAGAAATGTCAAAAGTAGAAAATGAGAGCGAAATTTAAGAATGATTTCAGCATGTGCTGTTCAGTGATTAGTAATCAGTTACCACCAGTTCTTTTGAAACTGAAACTACGAGGAATGTGGTTTTCCAATGAGTACACAGACACATTTCAACTGGTGTGGTTACATTACATGAGGTTAGT